GGGTACCCCCAAGTAACTCTGGGGTTCTACCAGCAAGAAATATGACAGAGAGATGGATTGGTGTAGATTACCCATAATGTCAGCTTTAGAATATTTTATCCTAAATCAGATTCTTCAACGCCTGAACCCAGCATCCCCAGTGACCTTTTTTCAAACAGATGCTGGGAGAGCAGACTTAAGGCACAAACTGAATTTCAGGGAGAGGTGACCATTTTCATTACTTCAGCAGGAAATTACTACTGTGGTGGGAGCAAACTGACTCAAGGCATACTCTACAGCCCCTCTGAGGTTCATGAGGATCTACGAGGGGAAGACCCCGTGTGAGATGGCCTGGGCTCAGTCACCCAGATACCCTCCAGGGTTCTCGCATGTCTGAGTCCCTTATAGGTGGAGCAGACATGAGGGGACCATGCTGCAGAGCCACTAGGCGTGCCGCGATCGGGCCCTGAGAAGGGGAACAGCACAGGCGGGGTCAGCAGTATTTCGGGCCAACAGGTTTGGCTGCCATGCTTCCAGAAAGAGTATGACATAAACATATCCACAAGGAATCAGGGTAGGAGAGGAGAAAATGGGCCGGGGTGTGGGCGTGGGGGCAGTGGACATACATAATAAGTACAGTGAATACTTCCCAAGAAAATCTCAGAAAGAGCTGGAGAAGGTCACTGGGGGAGGACTGGGGTCTTCAAATTGTACCAGGACAGAGTCATAGGTTTCTACTCCTAGTTTTTACTCTAAGGCTACTGTGGCATGGAAAATGTGAACTTGGTTGAGTTAATGATTTTCTCTTTGGCAAAACCGAGGGATGTTTTGCACTGGAGTCAAGCACTCCGATAGTTTAGCTTCGATAGCTTAGCCTTGACTCAGCACCTGCAATACCAGCCATCTGAGGACAAGAACCACATTGTATCTTCCTGGCACCTCTGCCCCAACAGAATGGGTGTCACAATCGTTGGTGGATATTGTTTTTAAAAGCATTTTTTACCTGATGAACTTGGCATCCCAGCAGACTTCCAATTACATGGCAATGCAAAACTTCATCTATGTCACAATGGATTCAAACATGTTATTTATGAAGTTAGCTGTTGTAATTGTCATGATGACTTTTAAATTACAGTGAAATCATTTGAGCTTTTATGAGATATGGGCAGTTGAAATGAACTGCACAGGGAGCTGGTGTTTAAGGAAATGAAAACAATCATGAGTTGCCATTCGAAGAATAAGTCTGCACATGACAGCTAGAAGCAGGCTTATTTTCCCCGACAGTCAGTGAATGGGAAGTTCCACAGAAGGTTCTGTGTCCAGATCTCCCAGGGAGGGATGTTTTCCTTTGGGAAGTCTCCTTCGTCCGTTCTGGGAGGTGGAAGCATTCTTGTCAGTGGACATGAAGAGGGGACGCTGGGCAGTTGAGCTTGTCCATAACAGGATGAGAACATCCCTGGGAGCCAGATCGGGCTCTGCCGAGAGGAGGGAGCCACAGGCCGAGAGTCATGGGCAACCCTGACAGTGTCTGGACTTGCCGGGCACGTCGCACGGTGCTTTCCCATGTATTATCTCATTTCATCTTTAAAAGCACCCTGAGGGACAGGCAGGGCAGGAATTCACAGCCTCCTGGTGCAGCTGAGGGACCTGAGTAGAGAGAGGCCGTATGGTTCGGGCAACACTGCACCCAGTCAGGAGCACTGACAGCCCCCAGTGCCCACCCCCTGGGGTATATAAATGCCCCTGCATGAAGCAGTGGGGCATTGCCCCTGACACAAATGGTCTCTTGAAAGGAATACAGGAAATAAAATTCTTCAAGAATGGAAGCCAGTACGAGAGGGATTATGTTTTCCTAGACACCAGGATATATTCTCCAAAAAGAGAAGGCGAGGCACTGAGCTTGGGGTCAAGCGTGTCAGTGATGGTGACCATGAGCTCTGGGCAGGAGGGGAAAGGTGGCCTCAGCAGCAGAAGGGTGCAGGAGGATGGCGCTGCTGGCCAGTGACACAAGCCTACATGCTTTGCTCTCTGAATTCAGAGTCCCAGCTTCCCTCAACCCCAGGGCTTCCCGGCTCCAGGAGCAACAGGGTGGGGGAGCTTCTGAGCAAACGCTCACCCTCTGAGTCCTGGGGACCTGGGTTTTCAACCTGGGCTCCACCACAAACAGATGCTGACCTCAGAGTAGCTTGTCCAATCTCTTTCCCTGCGTTTCCTCACCTGGGAGTGTGGGTACAGTTCAATGATTAATTCACTTGATTAATGAATTGATGTCTGAGGCTCTTAGGATAAAAAGGGTCAAACAGGTAAGGCACTTGGTGTCGCGATGGTGCCTTGCACACGCCAAGCATGGGAAAAAAGGCTGGCACCGGCTGCTACCAGGGTTAGAGGCGGAACGGAATGGAAACAGAGCTGCACATAAGCTCATGGGGTTAAAGTAACTTTAATTAATACATGCGAGAGGAATGCTCGTCCTCTCAAACCCATGCTATAAACACAACTTAGGAATTATCTGTGTGGGCTCCTTCTTCTGCGCTGTCACTCTCTGGGGGTGAGGCAGTCAGTGATAGTCTCATCACAAGTCCGTGCCCAGAGTGGCACCTAAGGTTGGGCCATTCAAAGAAAGGCATTTCATATTCTGAAAACTCAGGTGGGGTTAAACCACATAATAGCACTTTGAATTCTCACTTCTAATCTTGGTAAAGAAACAATATGCCGCTTCCTCAGAACCCCTCAGTTTGCAATTTCCTCAGAAACGGAAGCAGCCCCATTCTTGATCATAATTTGGGCAAAACAAATAGATAAAGTGCTCTAACATCTTGTGCAAATTCTTTTTTAAAAAGGTTTCAACCGAGCCAAGGAAAAGGTGGTCTTAAGGACAGGTGAGCATGGCTAATGCATAAGTTTGAGAATAGAAATGAGACGGCGACTTTGTTCTCTGGCAGGCACGTCTCGATGTTGGGCATCAGATTTGCCACGGATGCAAAGGGCGAGAGGGGAGAGGTTAGCTGGACAGGCAGAGAGTTGCTCAGTCAAGGCGCAGTGAGGGCTGGGTGTGCTCTCTCCCTACCTTTCATCATTTCAGGCCTTCTGTCTTCTGCTCTTTGCACATAATTTGTCCTTCTGTGCTACCACATGAATGTGATATCTGTGATGTTGATGACAGAACTGTTCCGAGACAGTAAGGCAAGAATGGCCACCACCTATCACAGAAACCGACAAATGAAGACTAAACCTTGGGGGCAAAGTTATCCTGGGGAAGAGATGGCAGGTGCTTAGGACTAACATCAGCCTTCTCGGTTGTTAGAGGGGACATCGACCCAGCCACTTGGTTATTTTCATGGAGTTTTCCAGAAAACTGAAATGAACAATACTGTCCAAGTATCACGTGTCACCTGGCTCCTCAAGGATTTGTTAAATCAAGGTTAAATTAAGGTTGCGCCAAAATACCAGCTTCAATCTTTGCTTTGGTTGATTTCTAATACTTTTACTCAGCTGGAGAGTAAAGATTACTAAATAGTTTTTCAAGAATTGCTCAGGTTTCAGTACTTAGAAATGCTGTCTGTGCTCTTTTGATGAAATCTGGCTTCTAAACGTTAGCTTCTATAGCAACACAAATGATAGTCAAGTTTTGCTAATTTTTTAAGAAAAAAACAGTAGGCTCACAAGTGCGCTACCAGTGGGGAAAAGTGTCAACATCCTTCTACAAAGTCATAGCAATGATTCATCTCACAACGATGATCTCAAAGAATATTAACTTTTCTCTTGGTCGCCTTAATTAAAATATTTCATGGGAAATTATCATTTACCTTATGTAATGTTTATTTGGAAGGTTACAACTGAAACTACCCAACAGGAATTAAGTCACTCAACCAGTGTTTATTGACTGCCTACTGTCTGCGGCACGTTTTCCTAGGCATCAGCTGTCAAAGATCTCTCCCTTCCCCTGGCGAGGCTCACAGCCTAGCGAGATGAGGTGTATGAGTAACAGATCAAGAGTCTGGAGACCTAAATTGGCACCTAACTCAGCCTAATCAGAGATTAGGCTGCATGATCAGAGATTCTATAGCTGTTTGACTCCACTCTGGTCTGGGCTTGACTTCAGCAGCCTAGATTTTAACAGAGAGAGGACACCAAGAGGTGTAGGTTAAAGGGAGATGGTGGCAACCTAATTTAAAAGCCTGTAGTAAGGGTACATTATCATGCATTCCGCACAGTGAGCAGCCCACAACAATCAAAGGTGAAGCTCTTGAGCACTTGCTATGCACCAGGTATTTGATGAGCATTTTCGGTGTATCATTGTGTCTCATCCTGCAACAACCTTAGGTCCAGAGGCTAAGTAACTTGAGTAAAATGGAGCCTTAAGTGTTTGAGTCAGAATTTGAACCAGGGTCTTTGTAGCTCAAGTAAAGTCAGTTTGGTTGCTTCCTATTTTTGCTGAGTGCCTCCATGAAGTCCTGTTGATTCTGGCCCCAGTTCTTCAGAAAGTGTCCCCTTGCCCAAGGGCATGCAGAGTGTGACAGTCTCACCACACTACTGCCTAACGGGACTCGAGCCTCGGAGTCCTGCTGAGGCTCACAGGTACGGGACTCAGCCTAGACGTGAGCAGAGAGGCAGTCAAGGTGCTGGGCATCTTCCATTGCTAATGCCGCTATGTCAGCACAAAGCTGCTTCCAATTTCACATAATAGCATTTTTGACATGATTAGCAATCTTGACCTTTTTAATAACTGAGAGGCTGAGGACAGGCTAGGCACTGAAGCCATTTTCCTAAAGGACTTGTAGGGACCCATGGCAGGTACCTAGTTAGGGGGCAGGCACAAGTGGATGCCCCCAGACTCGTGTGTTCAAGGCCCTCTGAATCCTCTACTCAGGACAGAGCTACACAATTAACCAAAACAGTAGGATGATCAACCCAGCCCCGTTAGGCCCCCAGAGACCATCCTGTGATCTATCCCTTCACTCAGCAAAGGCCTAGAAATAAGTAGGGGCAACTTGAGAAATGATCCAGACAATTTCCTCACATGTTTGAATGTATAAATAATTTATTTCTTTTCACAGCATCATATATGCATATAAAAGGGAAGGGGAACAGCAGAGGAAGATGATCAGGACAGAGAATTACAGCAGCAGAAACGGAAACGGAAACCAGCAGACATAGTCCCAACACCATGACAGAGAATTTGTGAAGAGAAGTGCTCTGAAATAAAACTGGCCACCCTGTGTCTATGAGAAACCATTTCAAAAGCTCACGTGGGGAAGCCAAACCTCCTCTATGGGAAACCCATTCACCCGCCAAAGGGCAGGCAGCACCGCACCACCAGTCACTGACCACTGTGTTGGTGGGGACACACCGGCCACCACTTCAAGGTGATCTGATCTGTGCTTCCTCTGGTCAGAGACGAAGGCTATTATTGGGTCAAACATTACAGGAATCAACAGAGACTCTTAACTATTAGTTGATACACCACCGGGCTTAACTGTACTGCACAATTACTAACAGTTAGTTGACTTGCACCCTTAAGTACTGCTAATGCAAAAAAAAATAAAACATCATTTTGCGTCATTTGTAAAGCATGACAGGATTTGAACAGTGATCTTGAACCTAAGTATTTTAAGCACAAGAAGGTTACAATATTTGGCATCTGCAATGTCACAAAATAAATATATTATTCTCTCAAGAGTGTGGAACTACCAAAATGTCAAAGTGCTTAAGAAATTGTTGGATATGAAGAAAATAAAGGAAGATGGTTTTTTTTAAAATAATTCTTTACAGAATCTTCAGATGATGGGTCCAGCCCATTTAGAAATCAGTGAATACGCCGTCGATATGTAAACTGAAATCCTGCAGCCTTTCCAACACTGCTTAGTTATATTTTCTCTACTGTCTACAGACAGACCAGCATTGGAGGGGTACCAAATACACTGACAACAGAGAAAAGGAAGATGGGCTGCTAGGCTTCTTCCTTTAAAATGTTTCAAGTAAGATTTGGGTTTCAAGCAGGAAGCCAGACTTACACCTCTAGCTGGTAAACTGGAGCACAATGGACTAAAGGCATGGACTTAACAGTCTGAGGAACTCAGATGCTCAAGCATTAAATTTCTATAGGCCTCCTTTGTAACAAAATTTCCAACAGTAGGGGAAATTGCAGTTCTACTTGTAAATATGGATTCCAAGAGGAAATAAAAATCAAAGAGTTGAGTTTAAGCTTCCCTTCTGATACTGTGTTCCAGGGCAAATGACAGCTTCGGCAAACCAAGACTCGGTCCTGATTATAAAGGATTTTTTAAATTACATTATTAAAAATACATCTTTAGTCTTCTTTCACTTTATTTTCCAAAGCCTCTTTCAAGTAAACTGTGAAGTGCCTGAGTACAGGTGACCATTCTGTCACACGCTTTCTTTCATCTCAGGCACTCATTGTTTGCATCTGCTACGCAAGCCAGTTCCTACAAGAATGATTAGGAAGGACCCCTCATCCTGTGCTTTTCCTTCGCTTTCAAATCCATGCAACAAGGTCAGTTTTTGCAACAAGGCGGGGTTTTATTTTTCGGTGCATGACGTCAAATACTCCGATGAGACATTTTTATTGAAATACTTAAGCCAGATAGGCCACAATGAACCAAATTAGAAATTTGAACGTGTCGCCACTTGCAGTGTAAAGGGACCTAAATGGGCAGAGCAAAGTCTTTTTTCCTAAGGGGAGTATTCTAAGGTGAGTATTCATTATAGATTTTTTTTTTTTAAAACATGTCTGCAAACCAAAACCCATCAACAAGCGGTTAGTATTATAAGAAACATCCCTTGCAAAAAACATCTTGCAGTTCGGCGCACATCTGCAGCTGGTACGCTCACACAGGCCAATCAGTAGGTGAAGAGAATTTAAGATTCCACACGAATGGGTCTAGGTATTTATGCTGATTACACCGCACAGACGGGGGCCTCTGTAGCTCCACAGCCCCCTCCCCCAGCCAGCATTCACGCCAAGAGCTTTACCCCTTAAACACCTTTAACTGTCCTGCGAACAGTAAATGCATCATTTGCCACCACCTCCAACAGTTTTTTGTTTCAATTTTTATTGGTCTCTTTGTGTAATAATGACCTACACATGGACAGAGTTCAAACCATCTGGAAGATTGTCTGAGTCCAGGTCGAAAAGCAGTTCTCAGCAAAACTGGTCTTCTGCAGCCAGCACAAAGCACCAGGGAAAGGGCATCTTCGGGGCCATCCCCAGCCAAGGCCAGGGCAGCGCCCATGCCCTCAGGCTGCTGGGTTGTTCCAGGCAGTCCTCTGATGGCCCAAACCACCAACTCGCCTGGGCCCAGAGCAGGACAAATGAAATCTGAACAGGGGCCTGCCCTGTGACATAAATTCATCCAGCTTCCACAGCCCGTGAAACGCAAGGAGTGGCCATCCCCCCAGACCTCCCACCGCCAACATACTCCCAGGGTTCTGGGAACTGCGTACCTCAGGCAACTCACAGGTGCGATCCTCCCGTGAGGGCGGGGCAGCCCGAACTTCTGGCCCCGCTGGAGTAGGAAGAACTCGCTTTTGTCTCTGACATCTGAGCCTCCTACCTGGGCCGGGAGGGCGGACCGCAGGACCCGCACCTCCACTCCCTGCGAGGCCCCCGCCCCATTAGCAGCTCCGGCGTTCAGACAAAAGGTCCTGAGCTGGGGGTGGGGGTGGGTCGAGCGCAGGCTAGCAAGTCAGCCTACACACCCCGGTTAAGTCACCAGTCCTACATTTGGGGGCAGAGATTACGATTTAAAAATTCGAAGAATCGCTTTGGTTCGCTGTCTTTGTTCGCGGGCGCGGGTTCTCGCTCTTCCATGCATCCATCCATTCATTCATTCTTGACGCGCACGCTCGCCACTCCTCGCTCCCGAACGCTGCCGGGCGCATTACCGCTTCTTCTTCTGCTTGAGGGACTTCCTGCGTTTCAGGATCATCTCATAGAGCTTGTCCATGCCCTCGGTGAGGCCCTCGCCGATGATGGCGCACGCCGGCTGGACGTGGTAGGTGGTGGCCGGGATGAGCTCGTGCAGCGCCAGCTGCTTCTCGATCTCGGCCACCGGCAGCGACTTGGGCAGGTCCTGCTTGTTGGCGATGACCAGCAGCGGCGTGCCCTGGTTCTCGGCGAACTTGGTCACCTTGTGCAGCTCGGTCTTGGCCTCCTCCAGCCGGTCCACGTCCACCGAGTCCACCACGTAGATGATGCCGTCCGTGCAGCGGCTGTAGGACTTCCACAGCGGCCGCAGCTTCTCCTGGCCTCCCACGTCCCAGAAGTGGCAGCTGATGCCCTTGGCCGTGCCGTTGCTCAGCTTGATCTTCTCCGTGTTGAAGCCGATGGTGGGCACCGTGTTCACGAATTCGTTGAACTTGAGCCGGTAGAGCACCGTGGTCTTGCCGGCCGAGTCCAAGCCCAGCATGACGATGTGCAGGGACTGGAAGGCCGAGATGTTGGAGGAGATGTTGCCCATGGCTCCCGCCGCGGCGCCGCCCCCCGAGCAGTCACGGGCCCGACGCGGCAGGGCGCACCTGGGCCGCGCCTGCCGCCCTCCGCCGCGGGGACCGGCGGGCCTGGCCACCCGGGGCGCCCCGCTCGGCGCGCTCAGACGCCGCGGCCCCCGCGCCCGCCGGGCATCGCGTCTCCTAGGGCTTTTGTCTGCTGCCAGCCGCCTCGCCGCCGCGGCTCACGGCGCTCGCGCCCGCGCCCTCCGCCGGCCCGGGCTCGCTCTGCGGCTCCCTCCCTCCGCGCCCCGCGCTGCGGCCGCTGCCCGGCCCTCGGCGGGGACCAGCTCGGGGCTCCGGCGCGCGGTGCTCGCCTCTGCCTTGCGCGGCGCCGCGGGGCCGCTCCCGCTGCCGCTGCCGGGCGCGCCTCGGAGGCGCAGGCGGGCGCGGGTTCCCCGGCGTCGCTACCGGCGCGGCCGCTCGCTGTCCCCGCAGTCCCCGCGCCGCCGCCAGCCTGCAGCGGCGGGAGGGCGCCCGGCTCCGCCCCTCCGGGCCCGCCCCGCCCCAAGGCCCCGCCCCAGGCCCCGCCCCCGCGACCGCGGCCCGGCATGGGTTCCCCGCCCCGAGGGCCGTTTTCGCGCCTTTCGGGCGTTCGAAATGGCCCCTTGTGCCCCCTGCAGCGCCCCGCGCCGCGCCGGGACAATGGGCCGGAGCCGCCGCTTCCTCCCCGGCAGGCTGACGCATCCTACAAAAATAGCCCCGGGCTCCCGGAACTCCCCGCCCGCCGGCTGCCGGGCGGGACCTCTGCCGTGCGCGGCGCGGCCAGCCTCGGGGCGCGGGTCCGTGGTCCCCGCTCTGCGGGCGCGGGCGCCGCCCGGAGTCCGGAGAGGAACGGGCAGGGCCCCGTCGCCTGAGGGACTGGGGGTCGCCCGGGGTGGGGGGAGTGTCCCGCTCGGGAGCGAGGGTGGCGGGGTCAGGCCCCCCGACCCCCGGGAGGGGAAAAGAGGGCGCTGGCTGCCTGCACCTGGAGCCTGTGCCCACCCAGGGCGGGCTCTGCCCTGCGCCCTCGGAGGCGCCCTGGGCCCTGGCCCTCCATGATGCCCTGGCTCACTTTCCTGCCCGAGGTCCAGGGGCTCCACACGGCTACCGCCGCTCTGGAGCCCAGGGCAGCCCGGAGGCCCAGCTTTTTCTGGCTGGCGGTGGCCGTGAGTGTAGAGGGCAGGCATTTGCATCCTTGGTTGCAAACCTACCTGCCTGCAGGTAACCGAGGCAGGCCCTTTCCCATACAGCCCTCTTGGCCACCTTGGTTCGTCCCCACCACTACGCGGACATCCCAGGGCAAGTGTTGGCATCTCAGGGCAGCACCCTCTGCCACTCTCTGAGACCAGAGACCCACCTGCTCACAGGTGACCCACCCCTCGTGCACCTGCAGTTCCAGACGCCCTAGGAAACAAAATGTGTCTATAGCTTGGAGTCGGCGGCCCCGTGGGTCTCAAACGCCAGTGCCTGTTCCCCGGTTTCCATCTCACCTCTCTCCAATTCCGAGGTTTTATTCTGGATTGAAAACACGTAACAAATTCACAGCCTCCCCAGGTACAGAGGAAGCCAAGAGTGCATTATGGGTAACAGACCTGGGGCTGCCCACAGGTGACATGGCCCCTCACATCTTCCCAACTCCTGCTCATTAGGTACAAAAGATGGAGGCAAGGCTAAAAGGGACAAGGTGGAAAGGATCACGTTGATGAATAAAGGCCAACATTTTATAGAAACGTTCTCCTTTGCCACCTTCCTTTCACAAGCTATGACGAAATACAGTATTTTGTTGGTGTGGAAATGTGAGAAAACTACACACGTGGAATGCCGGAGGAGCCACCCCAGCTTTGGAATTCCTGGGCAGTGGCCATTGCAGTCGACTGCCCTCCAGAGTGGGTCCAGGACTGGCAATGGCCTTGTGGCCCATTCTGTCCACGTCAGTTGAGGAGACTACGGCCCGTGTGCTTGTGAGTCGGCCAAGGTGGGACCTAGGTTCAGATGGCCTGCTCCAAGCCCTGTGGTATTTATGCCTAGGGCTGAGGGCCCGCCTGCCTCATTCCACACTCTACCCATGCACTATTTTAATTTAATGGGGGATGAAACTGTAAGCAACGTGACTTCAGTTGTGAAAGGCAGAAGTTCAAATCAAATTGAGTTGGACCAAAATGGAAATATATTCACTGACATGATTGAAAAGTTCATGATCAGGCGTCTCTTCAGGCATGGCTAGATCTAGGAGCTCAAAAGAAGTGTTAGACCAGGTCTCTCTCCATCCAGTCTCTGTATTGATTCTTTTTCCTACTGGCAGCCCTGGACTTATATCCTTGGTTTAGAACCCAGAAAAAAAGGCCTAACTGCAACAAAAGCCTGGAGCGCACATCGCTCTGGCTTGTGTGGCTCAGCCCGGAGTCAGGCACTGCTCTCCCAGGAGGACAGAGCGTGCTGGCAGAGGTGGCCCAGGGGCTGAAACTGGGGAGAGGTGATTCCCAAAGAAGAATCTATTCCCAAAAGGGTGAATAATGAGTAAGCAAAAATAACAGATATCATGTAATTTATACCATCACTGTGGTTATTGGGAAGCCTGCGAAGGCAGGAGTGTGCTTTGGGGTGATTGCTTTGGCTCTCCTTATGGCCTGCCCACCTTCTCATCAGACGGCTGCCTCTCACTTTCCTTCCCTGCATCACACACAGGGCTGAGGCTGGGTGCCAGCCCAAGAGGTGACTTCGATTAGCAGCCTGGGACATGGGCATTTGGAAAGGGACAAACAGGACTGGGACTCTCTTAATCTGGTTCCTACAAATGATCTTAATGTAGGACTCCTTTCTGTCATTTGCATCTACCTCCATCAGGGTTTGCTTTTATTTGGAGGGTGGTAGGAGGGAAATAGCTTAGTAAAACATGCAGTGTATTTTCTTGGTGCTGTACTACTTACTGCCAATGGTGGTTTTGACTGCAGCCCCCACAGGTTGCACCCCTATGGTGGGGTTTAGCCATAAAGGGCTGTCTGTTGTTCATCAGAAAAAGCAGATTAATAGACATTAATAGAGCCTTCCAGAACAGAGCCATTAAACAGCAACTCACCATAATTGAATAGCAACTGTTCTACATTCTAATTTCACTCACTAGCTAATAAGTTGATTTTACAGTTGATAATTTAACATCTAACACATAAAAATGTCATTTGGCTATCTCAACTAGTAACGTTCCTTCAAATACGGATTTTAATTGAAAAACACCAGAATTATGGGAGGGAGAGTAAAGTTTACCACTATGTCAGCAATGCCAGCCTACTACAAGCCTGTTTCTACATGCACACACTGTCGTGGTGAATGGCCCGGGCTGTGCCCACAGACTGGGTGGGGCCCAGCCTGTCCCACCACATTCTAGCCATGGGGCCACCGTGAGCCCACCATTTCTCAGGCTCCTTACCTCTACAATGTATCTGACACATGTGGTGGTTGCGAAGATTAAATAATACATGTAATAACTGAATAATTAAACCACAACTAAATAATTAACAAGTGGTAAGTGCTCAATAAAGATCTGCTTTAACAACTGCAAAGAAACACACGTTTTATAAAGTACACGGTCATTTGAATAGTGGTGGCCGCCCAACTGGCAAGTATTCCACCCAATGAAAGATACAGGCTATAGTGTGCTTTCTTCATCTTAATTAATTGGAATAAGATGTTTCTCAAAGAGGAGTGTGCACTTCTGTCTTGCCTGCAATGAATTTCATGACCAGCAGCAGCTATATGTCAGCTCCTCTCCCTTCTCTTTTGCATCAAAAAGACTTCACACCCAGAAAGGAACTCAATTAGTTCAAGTAAACAATGCAATAACTTGGCAGTCATTTTGAAGTTGTAACATAAAACATTTTCTCTTTTTCCTTTAAGGGTACAGAAATGAAGTGTACAATCAATTAAAATAACTTGCAAGTGTATCTCGTGAGTAGAGCAATAAATACATCACATCGTTAATTGTGCTTTAGTTAACGTTAGAAGCATAGCATGCAAACATGAGCATTCCTAGCCATACTAAGTATGTTGAAAGAAAAATATCAGGACACCGGTCTGTGTGCCCTCCTGCATGCGTGTGTGTGTGGTGTGTGGTGTGGTGTGGTGTGGTGTGGTGTGGTGTGGTGTGGTGTGGTGTGGTGTGGTGTGTGTGTGTGTGTGTGTGTGTGTGTTTCTTTGTGCTTTCTGATTGGGTCCTGGGGTTCAGGGGCACCATGCACATGCTCAGTTGTAATACAGGAGTGCCCTCTACTGAGCTTCTTGTATTATAGATGAAGGCCTCTACAGAGGTAAATTTTCCCAGTGCCTAGTCCATGTTCAGTCCATACTTACTGAACCATTGAATGGGCAAGTGACTCTCTATCCTGCCTTCTCTATCTGGAGCTGTGGAACTAGGTCTTTGAAAGCCCCACTTGCTAAGCTGAGAAAGTGCTTCTATTTGGGACTGAGGGCTTGGGGGCGTCGATTCTCAGATGCAGGCTTGGGTCTGTGATACCAGCACAGAACGGGAAGGGTGATTTGCCAGGAGAGGGGGTTTAGAGCCTGGCAGAGCCAGAAGAGGTGTTACCAGGAAAGCTGTTCAAAGAATCACAGATTATGGAAGACAGAGAAATCAGCATGATGGAAACCAGGCTGAAATTAGAGACGGGAAGAAATCGAGTTTTGTATCTAATTCAGTAGACAAGCATAGGCAGCCAGAAGCGGAGATGGGGCAGGGGTTGTGCATGAAGGAGGCCAACTGGTCAGAGAAAGCAGCGAGGCCAGAAGCAGCCGAAGCCAGGTGTCCAGGATGGGAATTCTTTGTCTGGTGGGAGTTTTCCCTAATGAAGACCCCCACTCGCAGTCCCGGAAGTTCTGGGGCTGCTGGACTGTCTCATCACCGGGAAGTCGGCTCTTCTCCGTTTCAGGCAAGGTGCCGGCCTCAGACTACCACTGAGCGGCAGAGGCCCCAGGGGGCTTGTGGACGGGGCAGGAACTTGTAGACAAATGTGAGTCTGTTATGCTTGTGGCCTTTCGCTTCATTCAGGTGGTCTGAAGCTTGGAAATGGGAACTCTATTGTCCACTCAGGTTCATGGGTTTAACACAAAACAAAAAGCAGTTCAGAGAGACTTCTTTCCAATTTCTGTGAAGCGACGAGTCTGAAACAACCCAGGTTCTCATTTTCCTGACAACTGCTATTAGGAGTATTTTGTTCTGCTGTTTTTGGCAAAAGAGAGAGAACTAAAGGACTTTTTTTCCCCCATTCAGGTCTTCATTATCAAATGGTCTCTATTGTGCCCCTGATAGGTATGAAAATTTAGAAGTCATTATCTTCCCTATCAATATTATTTTCAGATAAGATTCTTATATAAGATTGTTTTAAATCTCTCCTTAATACCTACATTTCATCTCTTAAGGGAACTTTTATCAAGGAAATTAAAACCCTACCCTTCAGAACTCAGAACTCGGAGCTACTGGCAC